GATGCGGGGCTCGATCCCAGAACCCTGGGATCATGACCCGAGCCGAAGGCAGAGGCTTTAACCCACTGAGCCACCCAGGCGCCCCTAAATCCATGTATTTTCTTAAAGGAAAAGCTCTCTCGCTATTCTCCTATATTCTCCAGGTTCAGACGCTGATGGGGGGTAGTTGTGCTGCCCCAGAAACATGCTGTTGTTTCTCCAAGTCAACGGAGGGCTACTCAGCAGTGACGATCTTAAGGATTTAAGTCACGCGCCAAACCAGTCTTCACAGAACTGCTGCAAACGTCTTTCTAACCATGAACACGTCGACGCACACATACAAGGAGGAAAGTGAACAGGTGCTCGCCGAAGCAGTTGGCAAGAGCACTGGGGAGGGGACCGCGGGCAGAATAGCCAGACAGTGCAAAGGCCCCGAGTTAGGGTGTCAGGGGCTTGGCAGCCCGGCTCTGATACAGAGGATGTGGCCAAGGAGAGCTGGAATGAGATCCCAAGAGGCCAGAGGAATGGAAAAGCATTTCTGGAAAGCAACATGCCCTGCCAGGCTTCTCCCTTCTCCTCATACCCCTCAGTGTGCTGGGACTTATGGGAGAATTTCTTGTGGAGACTGCCATGGCGTCTCCTCCTACTCACCAGTGGACACGGGGCTCTCGCTGACTCCAGCACTGCTGTGCTGGGGCTCTTGAGGGACGTCTCTCTCCTTGACACAGGGCTCATCTCCTTGCTCTAACCTGGTGATCAGCTTGGGTTTGAAGAACCGATACCCTGCTCCAGAGAAGGGGAGAAGTGCTGGAGGCCTCCCAGGCCGCCATTCCAGGCCGAGTTTGCACAGAAAGAAGTGTGTTTATGTTCTGCTCCCAGTTCCAGAACGCTGGTTTTCCCCTACCTCCACCACACCACACACAGAGCAATTCTCTCCAACACTGCTGGGGTCCTACAAGTCAGCTCAATTCTGACACCATCTACCTGGAGGTAAGGGGTGCATCCCACGGTGGAGGGTTTAGTCCCACGAGACTGACCAACCCCCAGTTCAGACACCAATCACAAATCCAAGTCGTCACCTGTGCCTCTCTGGCTGACAGGCTATGGGTTGGAGGTTGCAACGACCCCGTCTTGGGCTTGCTGAATTTGCTAGTCCAGCTCACAGAACTCCGAGAAACATTTTACCCATTAGATCACCGGTTTATTATAAAAGGATATAACTCGGGAACAACAGGTGGAAGAGATGTATAGCGCCAGGTGTGGAGAAAGGGTGTGGGGCGTCTGTGCCCTCAGACGCCACCCCTCCTCCACAGATCCCTACTTGCTCACCAGTCTGGAAGGTCTGCAAGCACTGTCCTTTGGGGGGTTTGTGGAGGCTTAATTACACAGACACAATTGATTAAATCATTGGCCAATGGTGACTGATTCAGCCTCCAGTCCCTTCCCTCTCCCTGGAGGTCAGGGGTGAGACTGAAAGTCGGTTCCCCTGGCAACCAGCCCTCCTCCGGAGGTGTTTCCCCAACGTCACCTCATTAACATAACAAATGACACCTTCATTCCTCTCACTAGCTAAGACATTCAAAGGTGTTGGGAGTTCTGTTCTAGAAACAGGAGGGAGACCAAACAGGTGTTTCTCACCATGAATCACAAAATCGCAATGACACGAAGGACCTCGGAAGAAGCATAGGGCCACCGCCTCGCCAGCCTCTCCCTCCCCACCGCACCAGCACGAAGGTCTACGTGGGGTCCCCCCGGGGTCCCCCCCCCAGGATCCCGGAGAGCGCAGCCCACCCTCAGAGAGCACGACAGCCCGTCAGCCTCTCCCCGTTGCACCGGCCACTGCGATTGGCTCAGCGGCGGTCACGTGACCAAAGCCAGCTCCAATCGGAGCAAAAATCAGACTTTAGGAAGGAACACCCGGTCCCAAAGGGTCTACCATTTGGGTCGCGAGGGAATCATGACGCTGGTGCCTCCGCGCTGCCTGCGGCTGTCTCGAGACCGCAAAAGCAGAGCCAGCCTTAGAAGGAAGCCGATACCGCCAAACCTTAGTGCGTGAGGCCAGTCCTAGGGCGGAGCTCATCCAAGTCCTCCAAACTGTGGGGACCTTGTCCTTACCCAAGGAGGCCAGGTTCCCATAGTTCTCCAGCATCACCTCTTTGTACAGGTCCTTCTGGGCGGGCTTCAGCAGCTGCCATTCCTTCTGGGTGAAGTACATGGCCACATCCCTGAAGATCACAGGTTCCTGTAACCCAAACCCCCATTCGTATTCACCCGGGGCCTGGTCCTGCACTTGGCCCAGGACAGCGGGTGGAAAGCCAACAGAAGTTGGGGACGTGTTCAGAGTTCTGTGCTGTGTCAGCTTGCAGATGAGGCCTGGGCTCCTTCACCCTGCCCCACATCCACACCCTTTGCTACGTGGCTGTGCTGTGCGCTCCTGTTCGCTTGGCCATGGAACTTGCTGGGGCCAGTGGGGTGTCGGCCAAGTGTGAGAGAAGCCTGAAAAATGCTTATGCAATCAGCGCTGACTTCTCTCTTGGGCCTCCACCGCCTCCAGGAGGGAAGCTCTGCCCAGGCTAGCCTCTGGGGGATGAAAGACAGTAGAGCAGTGCCAAGTCGCCCCAGTCCTCGGAGCAAAGCCACCTCAGGCAAGCTGACAAGGCAGAGTCCATCCACCAGGCACATGAAGGAGCCTAGCAACACCCACAGAGGCACACAGCCAAACCCTTATTGCTATGTGCCCCTGACCTTCCATGGCGGTGGTGTTTACACAGCATTATTGTACACACTCAGCGTGTTCATGGGTTTCGTGAGGGGTGAAGGAAGGGAGGCTATAAATGTTGGAAGCGGCCCTTTCACTCACCAGTTGTACGGTCACCTGGGAATCTGTTTCCAATGAGGTAGATCGATACCTTGATGGTTAAGAGCACAGGCTCTAGGGCCAGGCTCCCTGGGTTCGAATCTTGACTACTTAGGATCTGTGTGACCTTAGGCAAGTGATGTGAACTCTGTGCCCTCATTCTCTTAAAAAGGGGAATTATACAGTACCATGTCCTGGAGCTATGAGGATTAGGTGGATGAAAATAGGTAAAGAAATTAGCTCTGTGCCTTGTACATGCTCAGTGCTCAAGAAATGTCAATTAATCTAGGGCACCTGGGTGGCTCAATGGGTTAAACCTCTGCCTTTGTCCTGGGTCATGACCTTGGCATCGGGCTCTCTGCTCAGCAGGGAGCCTGCTTCCCCCTTTCTCTCTGCCTGCCTCTCTGTACTTGTGATCTCTGTCTGTCAAATAAATAAATAAAATCTTAAAAAAAAAAAAAAGAAATGAAAAAAAAAAAAAAAGAAATGTTGGGACGCCTGGGTGGCTCAGTTGGTTAAGCAGCTGCCTTCGGCTCAGGTCATGATCCCAGCGTCCTGGGATCGAGTCCCACATCGGGCTCCTTGCTCATCAGGGAGCCTGCTTCTCCCTCTGCCTCTGCCTGCCATTCTGTCTGCCTGTGCTTGCTCTCCATCTCTCTCTCTCTGACAAATAAATAAATAAAATCTTGAAAAAAAAAAAAAGAAAAGAAATGTCAATTATTCTAAATATTTGTTTAGAACAGGAGAGGATTCTAGTCAATATGATAGATTAACAAAGCAGAAAAGGTCAGTGCTGGACACAATACCCATTTTCCTTTCCCGTAATAATGGAAGCTACAGGTGAGCCCCTGCTTGCACAGGCCAAAGACTACATTCCCCAGCATCCCTTGCAGCGGGGCAGCCATGTGACTACACTCTGGCCAATGAGGTGCGAGCAGAAGAGCCGCTTGTGTCTTCTGTGCTTTGGCCTTTGAGACTAGGCACCTGTTCCACTTGTGGTGCCCCGGAATGTGGACTGGCCACGCAGGGCCGAGTCGCCCTCCTGGGCTGTCCACACACACTGTCACCGTGAGGAATAAGTAATGTCATCTGAGCGAAGCAGCCGTATTTTGGGATGTCGTGTTATAGCAACCAGATCTATGCGGCTGGGGAGATCCAGCCCCGGGGCAGGCAGGGGTGTGGAGGGTGACAGGTGCAGAGGGGCGCAGGAGCACAGGTGCAGAAGGGCGCAGGTGCAGAAGGGCGCAGGGGCCTTGGCCGCAGAGAACGCGCGGCAGGCCGGGAGGAAGCACCCCAGCGCGCATTTCCCGAAACGCTAGGAAAGGCTGGAAAGGGAAGGCCTTGCAGAGCGTTGCCACGGTGTACAAGGAGGAGCCGAAGCAAAGAGAGTGGCTGGAACGGGAGAGAGCAGAGCAGACAGGGAACGGTGTTTGCTCCCGGAGTGGGGTCCGTGCCCCTCAGTGTGCGGGCGGGGCAGGGGCCTGGGCCGCCCGCCTGGCCGCGCGCCGGCTGGGGACTTGCCTTCCGGCGCCTCAGTCTCCGCATCTGTAAAATGGGAAGAATACAGAGTAGTGCTGCCTCCTGGCGGCGAGTGTGAGCATTCGACGGGGCAGTCCAAGAATAGAATCCGCAACCGCGCAGAGCGCTTTAGTAAAGAAAGGGCTGGAACCTCAGCTGCTCAACTCTGGCCTCAGCTGGTTTCTTCAAACTGTCTGCTTTCATACAAATGTAAACTGCTTTTCCAACGGGAAGCATCCCACCCCCCCACCTCCTCCCCACCCCCAACCCCTGCAAACGGCTGTGACCTCTAGCACCTTGCTCCTCTTTGGGATTAACGTCATGGCCCCATTTCATCCTCACAAGGTAGCCTCCGTGCTTTCTGCATTCTACAGACGAGGAAACGGGGCAGGAAAGCACCAGTAACTTGCCCACTCGTTATGATCAGACACAGGGGTGGGAGGGACTATGGGGCATCAAGTAGAGATGACAACATACCCTTCTTTGGGGGGGGGTCAGGAATCTGCCACCATTCATGTTACAAACCCTTACAGGTCAGATGCTGTCTGAAAACAGCACAGATGTGAGTTCATTTACTCTTCAGAATAACCCCTGGATGGCCCATGGTCAACATAGTAGCCCCATTTTACAGATGAGGAAACTGCAGTGGGCCTGGATTGTTCAGGAACAGACCCGGGTCCCACAGCCGTGAGTGGCTGAGGGGGGATTCGAATCCACAGTCCGACTCCAGAGCTTTCGCCCTGGGCTGTTCCAGGCTGGCTTTCGCAGCCATGAGGCACAAAAGGGCCATGGGGATGGCACCCCACATGCGATGCCCCTTTCTTTGCAAAAGCACGCCTTCCCTCATCCGGGGTTTCTTGGCTCTTCAGAGTGAGCTCGTCTGGGGGCCAGATCATTCCTTGTTGTGGCTTGCAGGCTGTTGAGCAGTGTCCCTGGACTCTACCCACCCCTCCTGTGCTGACACCCAAACACGGTTTCAGCCACTGCCAGTGTCCCCTGGGGGACGAACGGCCTCTGGCTGAGAATCATTGTCTTGTCCCAGCCTGCTGTTCTCATGGTTGTATCACACAGTGATAACTACTCTGAAGAAAATTAAGCAAGTCATGACATTAGGGAGTGATGAGGAGGAAGTGAGCAGGGAGGCTTCCTGGAGGAGGCAACATTCCAGCCGGGGTAGAAATTGGGAAAGAGAAGAAGGAAGGAAAGAGACCCAGGAAAACCATCCCCTATGGGATGGGGCCATATCCTTTTGGGGTGGGGGGCAAGGGGAGCCCTGCCATGCGAGGGTCTCTGCCAGCCAGAGAGGGTGGCAAATGCACCTGACCTCTCTGAACTGAGGGGCCCTCTGGTCAAACGGAGAAGGCTTACCGTGCTCCAGGTGGGCCGGAATCTGACTGGTAGTCTTCCCTTCTTTTTGGAGACGTTCTCTGAAGTAGGAGCAGGGCTCTGAGAAGGCAGGTCTGGCAAGGGAGAAGAAGTAATGAGGTCATCCTGTCCTCTGTGGGTAGAGAAGCTCAATAAAATCCCAGTGATGAAACCCACAAGAGATGGATGAAGACTTGCTGTGTGCCATGCCGTCTTCTAACTACTGTACAGGTATCACCTTATTTGGTTTTTCATAATAATGCTACAAGATAGTTACTATCATCATCCCACTTTACAGATGAGGACATGGGCACAGAGAGGTTAAGACACTCACTCAAGGTTGCGCAGGGGTGCCCTAAGACATGCATTAAACTGTATCCCAAAGCTCAACGGGGAACAGGCAGGAAATGTCAGTGAGTGAAGGGGCTGGGGTAAGACAATGGCACCAGAGTCTGTGATGGACTATATGACACCCAGGATCTCAACTGCTCCCATCTGAGAGAGGCAAAGAGGCAAAGAGACCAAGACCAAATCAATACACTTGAAAATACCAGAGAGTGACAGACATCATGACCAAAATAAGCTAGGTTGGAATGAAGGCAGATCCCTGGATGCTGCTTTAGTCAGGACAGTCAGGGCTGGCTTCTCTGAGGAGCTAAGACTTTGTTTTGACCTTCATTTTGAGAAGGAGATGGCCAAGTGAGCATATGAAGGAAGAGCGTTCTTGAGCAGGGAAACAGCATGAACAAAGGTCCTGAGGTAGAATGTTAAAGGTGAAGCTAGGAGGCCAGGGGTGGCCGGAGCCCGAAGAACTGGAAGGGGGGGGAGATGGGAGTGGGGAAGTCAGGCCAGCAGGGTCCAGTCCCTCAGGGCCACTGGGGCCCCTGTATAGAATTTGTATCGTTCTCCAGCTTGAGAGCCCTGACACGACCTGATCCTCATTTTTTTATAAGATGCCTTGGCCTGCTGAACAGGGAACAGTCTGGAGGAGGCAAGAGTGGAAGCCAGGAGACCACTTGGCACAGAGACGTAGTTTGTAGCTTCTTCCTGGATCAGAGTACGTGGGTAATTCCCCGAGGACATGGGGGAAAGTGGTGTCTTAGATTTTAAGACACAGCATCCCAACTCATCTGGTTCGTCTAGCTGATCTGTCAGTGAACAATCGCATTCCCGAGCACTTTTACCAGCAAAAGGAAATCACACATTCATGCAAAAACTTCTGCTCGCGATAGCCAGCAACTGGAAACAACCCAGGTGTCCCTCCAGAAGTAGAGCCATGTCACGGAACCCCACTGAGCAATAAGGTGGGATGAAGCGTGGGTTCCCACAACAGCCCAGATGGCTTTCCAGGGCACCGTGCCCAGTGGGAAGGAGCAAATCTCAGAAGGTCACCAGCTGCACCGTTCTACTGACACAAGGTTCTCAAAATGAGAGAATCACAGAGATGGGGACGATTTGTCGTAGCCAGGGGCCCATCTCCAGGGTAAACCTTCCCACCATTGCTGGGCCCTAGAGGCCTGCCCCCCCCCCCCAGTTTTCCACCCTGTGTTTCTCTTACCACCTTTGTCAGATGGCTGGGTCTTCACCTCCATGGTCCTCTCCCTCCGCGGTGCTGAGAGGCAGGACCCTTGTGAGGTGCAGGACTCTGCTAGGGGCAGAGACCAGAGCAGTTAGGGTGTGGGCCCATGGTGACGGGGGCCCTAGTTCTAGTCCCAGCACCAGGGAAGCTGTGTGGTCTTGGGCAGGTGACGTCACCTCCCTACCATTCTGTGTCCTCAACTGTGCAGGAGAGGTGTTAGCCACACTTTCCTCATAGGGTCACCTTCAAGGCCAACTGGGTAGTTTATGGACAGCGCTTGCCATGGTGCCCGGCAAGGCCAAGGCCAGGGCTCGTGGGGTCCTGACGGGGAAGCTTGGTTACCCAGGCATACAGCAGGCCTCTGGTGCCGGGCATACAGCAGGCACTCAATACATGTGGCTCACGGCCAGCCCTGGTGTTGCTGTCTTTCTGGCCCTGAAAGCTGTAAGTCAGCCTGACGTTCAGAGCTGGACCTTGCCTCGCTTGGTGAGCGCTTATACCCTCCTTCCCGGGACTGTGGTGAGGACCAGTCCACAGGAGCCTGCACCACAGCCTGAGGGGGGAGGCCCGCTCTGCCACAGCGCTGCTGGGGAGGGCCAGGCCTGGGATCCAGGGATCTGGGGACCCTGGTCTGACCCAGGCAGGAAGGCCCACCAGTGAGGCAGGATTGCAGGCCAGTCTGTCCGGCGGGTGCAGTGGGGCTTCCAGTCTGGTGGGCCCTGGCTGTGAAAGCCCCAGGATCAGGACGGCCACAGTTACGAACAACAAGCACACAGCGCCCTGACACTTGAATTTGAGATACACTTGAATTTGAGATAAAAAATTGAATAATTTTTAGTGTAAGTATGTCCCAAACACTGCACGGGATATGCCTATATTAAAAACTTTTCTTTTTACTTACTTATTTGAATAAATTCTTTTCTCTTTTTTTAAAGAAGTAAGCTCTGTGCGCAACATGGGGCTGCGACCTCTGAGATCTGGAGTCACAGGCTCAAGGAACTGAGCCACCCAGGCGCCCCCCTGAGTCAATTATTTTTAAGTATAACGTGGCAAGTTCCATGCAATAGTTGGAACATATTTATACTAAAATGTAATGCACATTTATGTGAAATTCAAATTTAAGTGGGTGTCCTATAGTTTTTAGGGGCGTCCTATTTGTTAACCGGCAACACACAATTTGGGAGTTTTAAGCCCCCTTGCTCCTTCAGCTTTGCCCGCCATAAAAATGAGGCCATTAAATGATGATATATGCAAACTGTGTGTGATTAAAATCTTGTCCGGCATGGGCGCCTGGGTGGCTCGGTGGGTTAAGCTGCTGCCTTCGGCTCAGGTCATGATCTCAGGGTCCTGGAATCGAGTCCCGCATCGGGCTCTCTGCTCAGCAGGGAGCCTGCTTCCCTTCCTCTCTCTCTGCCTGCCTCTCTGTCTACTTGTGATCTCTCTCTGTCAAATAAATAAATAAAATCCTTAAAAAAAAAAAAATCTTGTCCGGCAATGATGCCCAAATGCCTCCTGAGGAGCTCCCTGCTTCTCCACTCCCCCAAACTCCCCTCAGGACTGCCCCCCCCAGTTTTTCCATGCTGCAGCAGGCCGAGTCACTAACATATCCTCCTGACCCCCATCTGACTGCTCTAGCAACCCAGAGCTAACCTGGATGTCGCTGCCTCCCCCATCAAACTAGCATGCCTCAAGTCTGACCATCCTGCCTCTCACATGGACCTGTGCTCCCCAGCAGGTCCTGGAGAGAGTCCCCAGAGGAGCAGTTCCAGCATCGTCTTTTGCTTCATTTTTCTCCCCAACAATGACAGGAGGAACTCTGAGACCCAGGGGCTCAGAAAGACCCGAAAATGACAGTGGTTCTGGGGGCTAGTGCCTGGTCCTCAGCCTGGCTCTGAGGCACGGGGGCCACACCAGTGGAGTTTGGGCATCAGAGTGCCCCTTGTCCCCGAGGCCTGGATGGCTCACGGCTAGTGCGTAGCCTGTGGGAGCCTCCTCCCAGACTCAGGGTGGCAGGGCAGCAGGAGCCTGCGACAGCAGGGTGCCCCTGGGCACTTCACCCCAGCTTCGCCGGAACACCGCGGTCGCGGGGAAGCGACAGCCACGGGCTGTCCTCTCTGCCTGGAGTCCAAACCAGCAAGGGCTTCCTCCAGGGCAGCCAGCCCACGGGGCACGGGCTGCGTCCGCTCGCCCTGAGTGTCTCCTTGGAGCCCGCGCGGGCGGCTCCGGAGATGCCCAGGGACCGCCCCACGAAAGAGCGCGGGAACCAACAAACTTCCGCGATCAAACAGGTAGAAACACACAAACCCACTTTGGAGTACACACTCGCACAAGCACACACGCACACTCACCCGGTCCCACAGACACAGATGAACACACTCACACACACCCATATTTAAACAAGACACACTCGAATACACACACCCCCCAGCTCACACAGACTCAGATGCACACGAGCCCACTCAACGGCGGACACTCTGAGAGCCGCACAAACGCCCACAGCGGCAGCCACACTTACACAAGCGCACAGTCTTCACCTGTGTGTTCCCCCACACGAGTTCACACAACCACACAGGTGCAGACACATGAGACACATCGGAAGGTACCCACAAACTCGTGCCAGCAGGCACAAGGTCCCACGCACAATCATACACAGAGCGAGGCACACAACCAAACCTAGCCACACCCAGGAGTCAGACACGAACTCACACACAGTCAGATACAGTCTCACAACTGCACAAAAAGTCATGACCCACCAGGGTTCACAGACACCCAAGCCCACACATTCGGCCACACTCACCGGCGGACTCAGGGTGACACAAACTCACACCCTCCCGCGGGGAAGACGCCAGCTACCCCAACTCGGACTGCCCCAGGGGAGGCAGCTGCAGTGGGACACACTCAGATGCCCGCAGCCGCACAGCCCCGCAGCCGCCTGCCCCGCCCGCGGTCGGAGAGATGCGGAGCCGCGCGCTGCGGGGTCCCGCAGGAGCTCCCGCGCTGGGACGGACGCCGCTCCACACGTGGCCACCCGCCCCGAGTCGGGGCCTCGCGCGCGGGCACCCCCACAGCCACGCGCCCTCCCTCGCACACTCACCTGCGCGGAGCGGATCGCCACCTCGGAGCCCCCACCCCCACACACCCGCCGTTATCCGCAGTCCAGCGGCACTGGAAGGGCGGACCGGACCGCTCCTCGCCTGCTAAGCGCGCAGTCCAGCCACCCCGCTTCCTCTGGCAGACCCCGAGCCCCCCCGACCCACACACGCTCCCTTCCCGTAGCTCCCCGGCCCTCTCCCGCCGCAAACTCACCGCCCCGCGCACAGCCCGCGGTCTCCCGGAGCTGAATGAGGCTGAGCGGAATTCAAACCCCGTCCCAAGTGCGCGCTAGCGCCGCCCGCCAAACTACCAGTCCCAGAAGTCCCCGCGCCCGCCGCTCCCGCCGCTCTGTGTCCGCTAAGGAGCCCAAGCCAGGGTGGGGGCGCGAGGACCGCTGGGAAATGTAGTCCCGAGACCGATGGGGGCGGCGCCGGGCGCTCCGCGCTTCAGGGGCGGTGGTGGCGGGGAGGTGGCAGGATGTCCCATTCCTCCCACCAGGCAGAGGGGAAGGTCTGGGTTCCCGCAGAGGGAAGGAGCTTTCGAGGAAGAGTGGACTTCACGCTCTGCAGTCCTCCCTTTTACCTGGCAGTAGTGGTCCGTAGTGACCCCACCTCAAAATTTCCAGCATCCCTCCTCAGCCGCTGGAGGCCAAGATTCACTCAATGAAAAGGAAATCAAACAAACAGACAAAACTCTACATTCAACAAGATTTCAAGTTTTTCTAGCTTTTATATGAGAAGAAAATAAACTTTTAAAACCAGTTTGTTGTTTCTGTTGGAGAAATCTGAGCTCTGGGTATTTAATGACATTAAGACTGTTTTCTGGGAGTGGCTCAGTGGGTTAAGCCTTTGCCTTCCGCTGGGGTCATGATCTCAGGGTATCCAGATCGAGCCCCACGTCGGGCTCTCTGCTCAGCAGGGAGCTTGCTTTTCCCCCTTTCTGTCTGCCTACTTGTGATCTCTGTCTGTCAAATAAATAAAATAAAATCGTAAAAAAAAAAAAAAAAAAAAAAAAAAAAGGAAATATTTTCTGGCACCTGGAGAACTTAATCGGCTGAGCACCAGACTCTTGGTTTCAGCTCAGGCCTTGATCTCAGGGTCCTGAGATGGAGCCCACCTGGGGCTCCCAGCTCAGTGAGGAGTCTACTTGAAGGCTCTCTCCCTCTGCACCCCGTCTCAAATAAATATTTTTTAAAAATTTGAATATACATATGTGTATATATATATACACACACACATATATATATTAGGTCTAACAGTGGTATTTGGAAGATAGACTTTTTTCAGTATTTCTCTTTGGGAGATACATACTGGGACACAAGGAAGGCTTAACATACACAAATCAATGTGATACACAGTGTTAATAGACTGAAAGTTAAAAACCACATGATCACCTCAATAGAGGGCGAAGAAGCATTTCACAAAATTCAATACCCTTTCATGATAAAAAGTCTCAACAAGCTGGGTATGAACCACAACATGATAGAGGCCGTGTGCAGTAAGTCCACAGCTAACATTGTACATCAGCGGCAGAGGCTGACGGCATTCCGTCTAAGATCAGGCTGGAGGCGTGGATGTCCACTCTGACCACTCCCACCCAATACACTACTGAAAGCACTAGCCAGAGCAGTTAAGCAAGAACAAAATAACAAGAAGCATCCAAATCAGAAAGGAAGACGTAAAATTTTCTGTTTGCAGAGGATTTGATCTTATATAGAAAATACTAAGGACTCCAACCCCCGCTAAAAAAAAAAGTTGAAACTAATGCACAAATTTAATAAAGTTGCAGGATATAAAATCAGCATGCAAAAAATCAGTAGCATTTCCATACACTAATAAAGTACTATCCAATTTTAAAAAATGAAGAAATAATTCCATTTGCAATACAACAAAAAATTAATACTGAGAAATAAGTTAAACAAAAGAAGCAAAAGATCTATACATTGAAACTATAAACACTAATGAAAGGAATTAATGACACGGATAAATGGAAAGATATCCCCTGTTCATAGTTTGGAAGAATTAACAGAATCGCCTTGACATTGGTCTTGGCAATGGTTTTTTGGATGTGACACCAAAAGCACAGGCAACAAGAGCAAAAATAAATAAGTGGGGTAAGTGGGGTTGCATCAAACTAAAATGTTGCTGAGAAAGTAAACAATCAGCAGAGTGGAGAGAACCTAAGGAATGGGAGGAGATACGACTGGTAAAGCACACAGCTGACAAGGGCTAATATCGAAAATATACAAGGGACTCATACGACTCAATGGTGAGAAAATAATCAATTTAAAAATGGGCAGAAGATCTGAATACACATTTCTCCAACGAAGACATACGAATGGTCAATGGGTGTACAGAAAGGGCCTCAGCATCATGAACTATCAGGGAAATGCAAATGAGAACCACAGCGAGATGTCACCTCGTACTTGATTGGATGGCCATTACCAAGAACACAAAAGATAACGAGGCTGCAGAGAAAGGAAACACTTTCACACTGCTGGTGGGAATACAAACTGACACAGCCACTACGGAAAATAGGAAGGCGTTCGGCATCGCACGGTCTCACTTATCTGCGGACTCAAAGTCAAACTCTGAAGTAGAGAATAGAACGGTGGTTACCAGTGGCTGGCAAGTAGGGGAAATGAGGAGGTGCTGGGCAAAGGGCGCAAATTTTTGGTTATGCAGGCTGAGTAAGTTCGGGAGCTCTAATGTATAGCCTGGGACCACAGTTAGTAATATGGCACTGTATACTGGAAATACGCTAAGAGGGCAGATCTTCAGTGATCTACTCTCCTAGATAATAAAACAAAATGATAGCCACGTGAGGTGATGGATATGTTATTTACCTTGATTGTGGTAATCATTTCACCACGTATATGAATATCAAAACATCACATCGTACACCTTAAAATAATCGATACAATTTTTGTCAATCATCTCTCTTTAAAAGCTGGAAACAGGGGCGCCTGGGTGGCTCAGTGGGTTAAGCCGCTGCCTTCGGCTCAGGTCATGATCTCAGAGTCCTGGGATCGAGCCCCGCATCGGGCTCTCTGCTCTCTAGGGGAGCCTGCTTCCTCCTCTCTCTCTGCCTGCCTCTCTGCCTGCTTGTGATCTCTCTGTCAAATAAATAAATAAATAAATCTTTAAAAAAAAAAAAAGCTGGAAACAAACCAAAGGAAACACACAGTGGGTGTCTGGGGGGCGGTGTGCTCCTGTGGTAAGAATAGCAAAGGTAACTTAAGGACGAGTAGCCAAGCTACATGTATTTCTGCTTTGAACCATGAAAATAACCCCATTTTGCAAATGAGGAAGTTAAGGTCAAAAGTTAAAAAAAAAAAGTTTAAAAATACATGCCCACCATAACATAGTGGACCAGTGACAAAGTGGGGATCCAGTCCCAGGAAGAATGGATCCAGAGCCCAAATACTGTTTCCTTGTGTAACTAACATTTGCTGAGTATCTATTATGTATGCCAGGTCTACTGGTTAAGAGCTGGGTTAGTAGAGGAACTAATCCAGGTGCTGAGAATACAGTAGGGAACCAAGTGAGCATAGATCCCTGAATCTGTGGCATTTCCTTGTTAACGCAGGAGAGAGACAATTAAACGCTAAGTAAGGTAAGTAGTAAATCAGATGGTGGAAAGTAATATAGAGAAAAATCGAATGGAGGATGTGGTGGGTGGGACGTGTGCTTGGGAAGTGCGGCAATTTCAGGGTGGCCCAGGAAAGTATCCCTAAAGAGAAAACATTTGAACAGATCTGAAGGAGCCCAAGAAGTGAGATACATTGATACCTGAAGGAAATGTGTTCTGGGCAAGGGGAACAGCTGGTGCAAAGGCCTAGAAATGGGCACACGTGTAGCGTGTTTGAAGAATAGTGAAGATGACACTGGCTGGAACCAAGGGCAGAAAACAGCTGACTCTAGGAGGCCTGTTGGGGATTTGGTTCAGGAGGGTCCCTCCACCCCTTGTCCCAGATCTGAGGAACTGGGGGGAGATGGGTATCCCTTCCTGTCCGGAGCGGCTGCCTGAAGTTTGCCGCTCTCACCCAGGACCCGCCCAGAGTAG